TTTCCTCGGGAGATTGCGTTAACTGAAAATCCAAGTTCGAAGTGTGTGTGCGTGCGTGCTTGTGTGCTGGTAGAACACCCATCAGGAATTTCCTAAGTAAGGGGAGCACCCCACTCTCAACTGTCACCAGAGCGGCTGCAGGCTCATCAGATGCAAGTGGTTCTGAAACATGTGAAGACCGGAGATCAGACGCCAATCTCTAAGATCTTGGCTGCCGAAGGCCAGCAACATGGCAGAAGACATGGCGGGCATGAAGGTGTCCGATCCCGAATCCACTGGACACTCGTTGGGTGCATGATGGTGCATGACATGTATGTCATTGTATTTCTCATTCACACTCGCAGGACTTTCAGATCTTTTTTGGAACCACTGTTGGACTGTTGGGCCAGGTAGACGGGGCTGTTTGCAGCTTGTTTTGGGGCAGGTCGATGGGCCGACACATTGGCTTCAGGTACGCGACTCGGCGGATTCGCTTCTTCCGATACTACCAGGACTGGCTTCTGCGTCGTTTCGAAGACCCGTGTGCTTAGAGTGTACATGAGTGTACGTTTGCTTGAGGAGTGCTCATCACGTCGTTTCAAGAGGAGTCATCACGTCAGCAGTGCTCCTTGATGTGGTCACCGCTACTATTCCATCATCCGCATGTTTCAGGAGAGGTCGTCACAGCTCAACTCTTTGGAGGGAGCTGAGGAAGGGGATCCGCGTATCCAGTGGGCACAGCACATGATCCACGAGCTATTAGCGATGCACCTGGGCGAAGCACAGCCAAGCACGAGCTTTGGGGTTTGCATCCTGTTCGGATTCACCGAAAGCAGTTGTTTGGAGAGGATTATCCGTTTAAGAACTTTTGATTGCTTATATAGTGCTTATAATAGTATTTAATTTGTGGATCGAAGTGGCTTTTCAACCCATTGTTGGAATGACCATGATGACGACGATGATGATGAGATTGCCTTCTGCAAAAGGCCCAGAACATATGGAAGGCTTGCCTTACTCAGAGCCACACCTCTGAATCCAAAGCTTGCACCGCAGCGTCCTGCGTTGCGATTGCCAGTCGTCAGTCGCGCATCCCAAGCGAACCAAACGCGCGTCCCGAGTGCCGAGGAATAAAAACTTGGGGAATTTCCTGTGGACCGGCTTTATGACACCTGCAACTGCACAACCGCGCTTTGGCAGCGACTTGCTGGAGCTCATCCTGGAGGTGGGCCTGGTGCACTGCTGATGACCAAGTAATCCAATTCATTGGCTGTTTGGTGGGCTGACGGGTTAGTCCATGGGTGGTTGGATCTGACGGGATATGGGTCGAGAATTGATGGAAATCGATGTGTCAAAGCCTTGCCGCTTATGGGATGCCGCCATCACGGAACCGCTGCTCACAGCATAGCCGCTGAGCACGCGCAACTCAGCCGCTCAGGTGGAGTTGGCACGTTTGGGTGGCGCATATCGGGGCTACAGCCGAGGGCACTTGGACGCTGAGCACCGCCTGCAGGGGCAATATTCTTTGCTGGGCAACTTGGGATGAAGATGCAGCCATGCTGATGCACGTGGCATGGGAAGATATGTGCAGCTGGAAACCATGACAAGGGTTAGTAAATCAGAATGAGACATGAGATGACATGAGTCTTATTCAATTGGTTTTGCACAACTCTTCCAGTTGTAGCCACATATGGGCGAGATCTTCCATGAGAATAATGGAGCCGACTTCCAAGAGGATATCACTCCTCCGTCGAAGGCAACTCCTTGGATGCCTTCCTGGCGCGGCGTGCAGAGGAGCTTCGAGAGCAGCGCTTGCTTGAGTTCAATATGACCAACAGGGATGAGAGAGAGCTGCAGCAACTGAGCTTCACCTGCGCGGCCTCGAGGGAAATGAGTACGGGACCGAGTCCACGAGTTTAGGCGTTGTGTCGGGTGGGGAGGGGAGGATGGAACATGATGGATGTGGTGCACTATCCACCCAACATGATGAAATGCATGTGGTGCACCGAAGCCACCGTGCAGAACGAGTCGGGAGATTCTTGAGATTCTTGAGAACGCGTCCAGAAAAACCGAGAACGAGCTGTGGGACTAGTTGACACCGTTGACACCCGAATAATACCAAACATTGTCGTTCCATGCCCAACAAGTCAAACATGTACCAGGGAGATTCCGACCATGAGATTCAAAGAGAATCCTCAAGAAACTCTTGTAGTCTTCCGCCAACAAGGTAAAGGATCCACAAAACCAGCTCCTATTTTACTTCGTTTCGGGTGGAACACTTGAAGGGCCTTTAAGGTGAGATTGGTGAGATATTTTGGAACAGGTTCCCGGTGATGCCTTTTCTTGGAGTTGACTGGAATTATATAGATCCTTTTGACAATTGGCTATTTTTGTCGCATGTGGTCGACCAAAGAACTATCAACATGCCAACACAGCACATGTTGCAGACGGGATCCAACAAGCTCCTGGCTGCTAGGCAGGCAAGGCAAACAATCGATGTCAGGCTAGGCAGGCTAGGCAGGCAGGATCCATATGTCGTAAGCTGCCGAAGCCGGCGAAGTCTGCGGGATGATAAACCCTTAGAAGAAAGAAAACAAAAAGGTTTTCCGCGGGCACGAGAGGACAGATCATACATGGTCATGGTCTTTGTTTGTTTCATTATTGTCCTCTTCGTGTTCTTTGTGCAGAAATTCTTGAGTCTGACGAGGCAATTCCTAGAGGGTGAAGCGGAGTACTTCAAGAGCCACTCAGTCAAGGAGCTGGATGGGTACGTCAGGAGGGAGCTCACTATTGATCACAACATCCCATGGGAAGAGGTGGGCTGCTCGCATGACGCTGGCCAAACGTGATTTCCAGACCCTTCACTTGTTGTGATTTGGGGAGTATTTGGAGTTTCCCCTACAGAAGATGCTCTAAACTTACCAACCCCCCGTGAGCATTTTCAGGACATGTGAATTCCATGCGAGGTCCAGCAGAAGATCCAGGAGTCCTTGCATGACTTGGGTACAGAAGATCACTTCCGAAATGCTGGGAGCTTCGGCCACAGCAGCAATTTCAGGCAAGATTTGGCTGCGCATGTGACAATTGAAATGCAAAACGAGCAGTATGGCAAATCAATCAGACAAGACATGTCCCAAAAGCTCAAGTTGTTGAACCTTGAGAAACATAGCTGGGAAAAGAACAACTTAATTAAGTCAAGTTCATGCCGAGATTGTCTTGGACTTTTGCTCAGCATTCTGAGAGGGCCCAGGATATTTCTTTCCATTCGCTGCGTCAGGTTCTTTGTGGATGGGAAAGTCTGGCTCTCAGCTGGGTGTGAGGAAGCGGCCGCATGGATGCACGGGTCGCTGTTTGTTTGTTTTTGCGCATGTTCCGGAAACGTTGATTTAGTGCGTTCACTTGTTGGATATGCGATATGTGATATGTGATTGCAGTAGGCAGGAGAGGGAGAGAGCATGTTTCCGGACCATTTATTAAGATGTCCTTAGCACATCCTTACTGTAGCACATGTTCAGCTTCACATGCCTGCATTAGCTGTCAGTGACAAGAGGCATTTGTGTCCATGCTGCCTCCTCTTTGCACACCACCACCGAACATTGACAATGAGAAGCCTTTGAATCTGTTGAGCCAAGGACTTTGCTTTTATCCAAGACTTTGTCACCGAGAATCTGAGGCACCTGTGCGTCAGGGCCTATCGGGCCTACAGGGTATCGTGGGGTCGGTAAATGTTCTTCATGTTCTTTTGCCGAGTTCTTTTTGTCCGTCTCCTTTGTGCATGGCTTTGTAATTGATTGAGATGTATGATTCGGGGTAGCAGCTAGCAGAGTATCGGGATATTTAGGGCACATTCATTTGGTACAACTAACATAGCGTTCCATGTTCAATGTCAGTTTCTGGCATTACAGGAATGGCATAGACGTAGGGAGGAGGACACCGCAATTCAAATTCCCTGTGCTGGCGTGCTGTTCAATATTGATATTATGTTAATGTTTGTTACGAAGCCTATCTTCACGAATTCGTGCCTTCACATACCGCAGATCTGAAGAAAAGCCCAGGCAACGGAGCAGAAAGCTGTCCTTTATCGCCACCCATGTGGATCTTGAGAATGGCAGGCCAGGTGCCAGTCTTTTCCCAAACGCCGCTGGCCCGCGGAGGGCCATTCAATCCCAATCCAGTATATTCCAATCTGGATCTGAATCCAAACTGAGGGCCTGAAGACCACAGCTTTTGCAAGTCACTACTTGCGTTTTGCTGAACCAAAGGCTTGAGTCACTGAAGCGGGGCATGCTATGGAGTGTAGAGGCTACGCTGATGTTTGATTTGACCATTGCTTTGAACACCTCTTGCGAAAGCAAGTGTTGTGAAGAGCCTCATAGGGCAGTTTTTGCTTGGAGGTATCAAGAGCTGCCGAAGGACCTCATCCCGCCGCAATTCTTTGAGAGGAATGGCTACCAGGTGCTGGCATACCGCACCTCGACACCGAATGGAAGACGGAAAGAGATGCCGATGGAGGTCGAAGCTGCACACAGGGTATAGACTGGGTATAGGCCGACCGGTACGTGTATGGTCCGGCTTCGCTCAAAAGGCACAAACCATCCAAGCCCAACAAGGGTGTACCCAGCCAGCGGTGAAATTAGAGTACGTACATGACTGCATGTACATGTTGCATGCTCAACATTGAATAGCTTTCCTGGTTTTCAATTTTTTTTATTCTACAATGCAAGAAAAAGAGTCTGGCCCCTCTTTGTTGAGGCAAGCTCGGTGATGCACAGCGTGCGTTTTTGGGACAGAACGCTTGGGAGCGCTTTCACAACGTGGACGAAAGCGACCAAACCACAGAGGCTGGGCTCGAGGGGCTGTAGAAGTCTTACACTCCCTGGAACTGACATGGCAGTGGAAAACCCCCTAGAGGAAAAAGGTCTTCCAAGGAGGCCCCAGTTCTGACTTGCACATGAGTTCCAGGGAGTGTATCGAATCCCTCGGTGGCCGGCCCCAGTTCTGCAGAAATGCTGCGATACTCGATTTCTGGTGGGACGCTCTAGATGTCCAGTTTCATGATTCTCTCATATGCCAACCCACCTTTTGGGTTTAGGTGTGCCTCGGTTGTGGAGATAGAAAGTTATATATATATATATTATATATATTTCTTTTTTTGTGTGTGTGTGTGTTTTGAGCTCTTCGCCACTGTGCAGGTTGAATTGTAAGGTGCTTTTTGCCACAAAACAAGCATGCTTGATGATCTTATTGATGTATTGGATCCTAGGGCTCCAAAAGGTAATAGCAGCCATTGGGGTTGTGGACTTGTTTTGCTCACTGAATAGCTTGCAAACACAAGTCAAGATAGGATGATGCTCACAATAACTGTGGGGCTGTAGGGCCAATAGATGACCTGATGCAGATTCACTCGATCCGCCCAAAATGTTCAACGGCTCAGATCTGGGTGCCTGGCTTTGGGCTTGCAGAGCCCAAGTCCAAGATTTTTGGGCATTTCAAGGAGTGGACGCCCGTGGGGGTGGGTCGAAGAAGTGGTCGAAGACAAGACAGAAATGAGTAGAACAGGTGGGTGTGTGTGTACGGGTGATGGAGTTGCTTGCTTTGTGGTAGGTACAGGCTCTGAGGTCTCAGCCTCCGGCACCGTTGTCTACGGAGTAGCTACAGCTACAAAAGCCTTGTGGATCCGTGTGACACGGACATAGGGCACTTTTGGCGTGCATAACCAGACGGTGAGATTTCTGAGGTCAAAAGAGAACTAGCTTTCGAATTGCTACCACGTGGTCAAAACAGGTTTCCCGAGTGAGGGCAAGACGGTAAGACCTCAAACATTGCAGCTGGGTGCTCCTGAGACTTCAGCTGAGTTCAGCTCGCAGCTACAGAAACGGCAGGGCCCCAGCAGGGCCCTGCTGTTCCACAGGAGCTACCTTTGGGCGAAATTGGCCGAGGTGGCACCACTGCGCAGCTCTATCTCTATGACACAAAACTCCGCGCGCGATCCACACCTGGAGAAGTGGCCCTGTGGACAGCCGTGCAGGCGTAATGTGGCGTAGTGAGTGTGAAGTGTGATGCGCGTTGGCGCTCAGCTTGCGAAGTGCTTGTGTACACTTGTTTTTGCAGATGTGCCGTATTGCTGAATGGTTGTTCAACAGTCTTGCCGATTGTTGACAGTGTGCAGTTGTTTGTTCAAGGTCAAGGTCGGCTTGCCGGCGTCGCATGGCTTCGCATTTGAGTCCCGCATGAATCAGGTGAATCAAGCATCCTGGTGGGAACCGCAGCTTTACATGATCACACCGGATCTTCAGTCTGGAGATGAGTCGCTGATTTTTTCCTCGCAGGAGGAGTTCTTTCAACTTTTGCTCCCTGGCGAGTCGGGGTGAATCCTTGAGAAGTCCGGAGATGTTCACGCCAAGACTGCTAGGTGCTAGGCCCTCTCAAGTACCTGACCATTTTGAAGGTGACCAATTTTTCAGTTGACCCGATTCAGCGCAAAAGACTCAAAAGGCTTAAACAAATACAAGCAGTGGCCGTTGGCCCAACCAAGCTACTGCTAGATATTCGCCGTCGGATGCTTTCGGACAGCTTGCCACCCTGTTTCCAAGAAATTGACCCAGTATCATGACGCAGGCTTTGCTTCCAATCCTGCACCGGTCGGAGAGGTTACGAACGATCTTTGAGCAAGAGCTCTTGAGCGCTCGGAACTTGTGGTTGACTGGCATCAAGAAGGACTTCGTCGACCGGAATACTTCGACGGTGTCGGGTCTTCCGACCATCAATCATGGTGCATCAAGTCCACCGAACGACCCCTGATCGCTGTTTGGCCCCAAACCGTGTTCTTTCGAGTCTTCCTGCGTTTGGTCACCACAGGGGGTTCCATGGGGTTCCCCACGGCGAGGACGGTGTGCGCAAGGCCTCCCGGAGCTTCCCACAGATGGGCGGGCGAGAGGGGGAGCTGGAAGAACTGATGGGTGCCTTGGTCACGCAGCCGTGTGGTGTGTGGGTCGTGTGGCGTGTGGAGTGGTGTTCGGGGGATGCTGGAATATTCTGGAGTGTCAAACGGTCTAATTTGGTGTTTTGATGAGTTTGCTACTGGAAGAGGTGCGGGAATCAGGATGAGCTCATCAAGGAGTTGCCATGGAACTTTCGGCTCGAGGCTGGCCTGAAAACCATCAAGCCCTGTCACCGCCACCATGGTCCATCCTTCCAACCTTGCTCAGCTGGAGGAGTTGCCACCCGTTGGCCGGAGCTTTGTGGCAGAAGTCTCCACTGCGGAGTACTTTGAGCCTGTGGAGGCCGATTTGCACGAGCCAGATGTGCACTCGGGGTCGAGTCCAGCTAGCTGGGAAGGTGTGGAGAATGTGGAGGTGGGTTTCGGAGTTTCGCTGACTTTGAGGGATGTTTGGGATTTTGCATTTGCAAAAGCTGCCTTAGATTCATCTGACACGCCGAAGAACAGACTTCAGGCGGGTGTGAAGGGTCTCCCATTCGCGCCATGTCAAATGGATGCTGCCAAGTTCTGGGACGTTCTGAGCACTCCAACGACCCCAGGTCCAAGCCCTCGTGCGGATGGCTTGCCACATATGCCCTTGTTGCGAGCAAAGACGAATTCCGTGCACTGGACGGTCGATGGTCGCAAGTTGGAGTCCCATGAGAAGCAGATCCTCTCACCGGAATTTCAACTGGATTTGCCAGGAGTGGGTCTTGTGCCGTTCCGGCTCATGATCTTGGCAAAAGAAACCAGAGGCAAAGGTGGCAAAGGCTTCTCAAAGGCCAAAGGTCGTGCGCGGCTTTTCATCAAGTGCGGAAATTCAGTGCTTCCTGAGGCGTTTGCTGTGGCATTCCGGGTCAGGGTTGGAAGCAAATCAAAGGTCCTCCGGGGCCATGAGTTTATGGAGCATTCTTGCTGCCCTTTGCAGGAAGGCCACGAAACTTGGGACCTGCTTTCAGTGGTTGAAAAGGTCTCCAAGAGTTTTGAGGTTCATGTTGAGGTGCTCCACCCTTAATTCACCCTGCTCCGATCATCTTCGATCAGTGGGGACTCTCTTGATTCCATGTCCAGCCTACTGGAATCTCGAAGACTTTAGCAGTCGTCGCCCCCCCCAGTTGAGACCCGAAACATTTTGTCGCTCACGGAGGTCATCAATACCGTTGTTTGTCCCTGCGGCAGATCTCTGATACCTTCCAGAGTCTGCGGACTTGATCGGACTTGTACAGTTCAGCGGTTGGGCCTAAGAACGGGCGCGTTTAAGTGAATGTAGAGCCATGCATCGGAGCTGTGGTCACACGACTCACAAGACGTCCCTGATGGCAAGTGGATGACCTTTGCTGACTTGATAAGAGGATGTTTTGTACAAGGATGGAGTCAATGGTTTTGACCACAGCTTTGATGTAGGTCATTTGGCACGATCTCCGCCCTGCCCTTGCCAAAAGCAGCTGCGGAAAGTTTGATGGTGGGACTGATCTTCATTCACAACTTGGAGGCAATCTCATGCAGGATGCAAATGTGATAAGTAAGTGTGTGTGTGTGTTCATAGTTGTTCTCATGACTCCTGTCTATTGCGCTGAGGATGGGAAATCAAGATGCTGAATGGAATGAACACGGGCAATTCGATGTTTCTTCCCAAGTGTCCATCCATACATCCTTGGTTGCTCGTGTCCAACAGATCCAAGCAGGCAAATTTAGTGCAGCCTTGCAAGTAGCACTTGCAACTCAGCAGTGAGAACTGCTAATTTAGCTAGCTCAGTAGTTGCTCAGCCTCCAGGCTGGTCCACCTGCCTAGCGCCTAGCGCCCTAGTTGTGCCCATGTTCAGGCGCATTGGCCAAGGCCAACGTGGTCTTGCAAGAGAAGCAGGTGCACGACATGAGGATGACTCCAGAGTGACAACTTTCTAAATTCCAGTAATGGCCATATGTACCGCACAATGTGAAGGTACATAGCTACCATCATCATCATCATCAGCAGCAGCAGCAGCAGCAGCTTATTGAAGCTCAAACAAGCCGGCTACAGTACATAGATGTACATAGACATAGATGACTTCATGGCTTTCATTGCACCGACAAGAAAGACAGCTCAAACAAGAGCAATCATTTCTGTATGATCGTGAAGTCCAACATGTCCTACACACGGCCAACCCATGCCTAACACCCCCAAGTTAAACAACATGGTCATGAGCTCTTAGTAGCTTTGCTCAATCTGCGCAGGCCGGGAATCGCTTTAGCATGCGGCCCACCAACGCCAAGCGCGTGTGGAGCACAGGACATTTCTCCGTTGAGTGCCGTGAGGATCTTTGCCGCTTGGCCCCTGGTGGAAGTGAATGGACCCTCGCAATGGACACTGGAGTAAGAGCTGCAATTCCAAGAAGACGTCTATGTCGAAACCGAACTGGACAAGTGGAGAACAGTAAACAAGTTTCGCCCGGGCCCAGGCCCGCTATTGCTGCCGTTTCAGATCCTTGCTTAACCCTTCTGAGGTTTGCCTGATTCACTGAACTCTGACCTGAAAACCTGTTTCAAACACCCGTATTAAAACTAATCTGGCTCCAGACAATTTTTCAAGGTGGTAGTAATTACATTGGAACTCTGACCACCACGACCACCACCACCACCACGACAACGACGACCACCAAGCTTGCCAATGCCTGTCTGTTTTGCTTCGACTACTACCACCACTACTACTGCTACTGCTACTAATTCCCAAATAGGGGGTTGTCTCTATTCGGACTTCCTGGATTGTTTGCTGGGGGGGCCGTTCTACTATTTAAGATCGAACAGTTATATAAATTCAATTTCAGAGAATTGCTGACAATTCTTGTTTAAACAGGCTCAGTTGCTGGTTTGCTCATATAGGTTTTAATAATTTAAGGTGTGCACTTTGCCGCAGAGCATGAGAAGAATGATGAGCTACACCCGAGATCACCCGAGATGATAAATTGAACACGTGCAGGAAGAAGCGTCCATGCGTCAATGCCCGCCAATCTCACCTGAGAGGGAAAGGGAGCAAGATTGGAGGGAGAGGGAGAGAAACAGAGAGAGGATCAGAGGGCTACTTCGATCATGGATGAGTTGCATTTTCAGCACAATCGTTCCAACCTTAGGTGCTTTGTTTGTCAGTCAGTGTGCGGTAGAAATACGGTCCCCCATGTATATATATATATACATACATACATACATACATACATACACTCAACAAGAGCATCTATGCTGCACGGGAGTGAGAGGAAGCATGGGCCTGTTTGGGCCAGCCTCGGCCAGGTCGGCTCCTGCTCGACCTGGAGCTGCTCCGAAGCACGAGCACGCCAGCCATCAGCAAGCAGCAAGCGGTGATGCTCATGAACCGCACCTTGGACCAAAGGTGCTGTGCGCCAAGCATGGTGTATTTATTGTTTCTGAAAGAGGCAGTCCCACTCCATGCCTTTCGGCCTGGGCTCAAAATAGTACAAGCCGTCACGGAAGATCCAACGGGGCCCTCTCCCAAAACCAACATTCAGGCCTCGCACCTCCTTTTCCAAGGCTTTTGGCCGTTGCACTGGTCGCCAGGTACCTTGCGCTACTGCCCCGCCCTGGCTTTGGAGCAGATTCGCCCCTGGCGGGAGGCCTTCCGGGCCCTACTCGGAGACCTGATCGAAGAGCTGAGAAGTCTGAGTCCAAAGCTGCGCCAGGAAGAGCTCGGCCACTCGCTGGGGAAGCTCGTGGGGTCTTTGGGGTCCACTTGATGTAGAGACAGAAGGACCAGACATGACCAGACCATCCGTTTCAAGAACAGGTGAAATGGGATTCGGAAGAAGAGTGTGGTATGTGGGCGGTGGGATGTGGAAGGTGCAGGATGACAATGAGGAGAGGTACTTAGGGGGATTATGATTATAAGAATTGTTATATAATAGTCTAGGTATAGTATCTACTATAGACGCGCAAAGTCACCGAAATCCGCGGCTTGTCTCCTCTTTGCACCAGCGTAACTATTAGGAACCACCCGGATTTCCTTTCCAATGAGGGTGTTACATGCACGAACGCTTCTGGCGTCGCAAGAGCCGCCGGGAATTACTCTCTTCGGAACTTCTGGAGCCAACATCAGGCAGCAGCGTTGCGTTTGCAGTTGTTTCATGCTTTGTAACCACGTTATGTTCCTTCATTCCTGTGATCAAGAAACCAGGAATACAAATCGATGCAGCCACCCCAGGAATTCTCACTCACTGATCCCCCTTTCCAGGGAAACGTGGGCTAGACGTGGCCAGACAGCCTCTGCGCTTGGCCAGCGCTCCTGTTGTTTTTTCTTCAGGCGACTTAACACCTCTTCTGCAACGCTTCCGCCAACGTTTGGCCTTGGGCACCTCGGTGATGACGCATGACGTCACGGCATGGTCACATTTAACTGAAGACGTGGGCAATCTGTGAGCAACGGGCGCAGTAATTATATTCAATGAGCTGATCCTTAGGGCAGACATGCCACATTGCCAGATGCAATTCTGTTCTAATGGGGAGCACGGAAACAAATCATCCCATGCAAGAAGCCAAATGCGACAAGTACAAGCGTGGGATTGACTTAGTTGTGTGGCTGTTTAGCAGCTTTCAGGGTTTGAAGATGCCACGCGTGCAGCACGACGGGCGCCCTTTCACCATTTTCCACCTATGGGTCCATGGCTCCTGAAAGACGAGTACCTGATAGCGGATCACACATGACCATTCCGTGTACTTAAAGACTTTGATTTAGTAATCTCATCCTCTTCTGCAGGCAAATCTATGTGTTTGTGGAGTCTTTTTGATACTCACACATGTTTATCGGATAATCGTTTATACATCGACAGATGTCACAAGTTTGGCCCCTGCAGCAGTGTACCTACCATATAATAAACATTAATAAACAGACCAGGAAGAGATGCAAGAGCCCACAGGCTTGTTTTATAGTCTTGAAACAGTACAGTGACTTGTCATTTGTTCGCTCCCCAACAAGTACTGGTGCATGCCGTGTATGCAAACAGAGGGTCCATCGCGCTGTTGAGGTGTGGAGAGGCACAACACCTTTACAGATCTGCAGAAGGAAGTCAATGTGACTTGGCATGGCCTTCTTTGATATGTTTACAGATGAAAAACATGCGCATATGGGTATGTTTTTATGTGTTTTGACTATATATAGTTGTATTTGTTTCATGTATATATATATATATTATCATATCTTTGTGTGTGCGCATTTTACATATCTGTACACATTTGGGTGACCATATGACCATTATCACTTGTCCAGGTAGGGCCTACTGCATAATCAATAAGTCCAGAATAAGCCTTTGATGTGGTATGATTATAAATCATGTCAACCCGCCAGGGAAATGTGGTAGCAGCAAGCCTCAACCATTGATGTAAACAACTCTGCCGGGCAGTTGTGTGCAAACAGCTCATTTGCCTGAATCTCATTCATCATCCTTTTAGTCTCCACCCAGCCTCAAAACGATCATGTCACACCCGCGCTTAGACCACAGGCGATTCTTTCGTTTTTGCCTTCACGGACATGATTGGGGCTCACACCTTTGGTCCTACGTTGTGCGCGGAGCCAGCTGCTCGCACGCCACCACTTTGCACAGTCGAAGGAGCCACTTCACGCCTAAGAAGCTCCGTCCGACTGCGGTTTGAGATAGCTGGGTGCCAGTGGCGACGAGAGCATGAAGATGAAGACAGGACGTCCAGCTAGGCCGGCTGGGCTAGCATCCTGGGATAATAGATGCTGCCCATGTGGACAGGTGCAATGCTCTATTGGAGGGATCATGAGGCCTTGCGGCGATGTGGAGTTGGGGTGACTTGGGCGTCCTGCAGTGCTTGGCTCGATTGAAATCAGCAAATGGTACGAGAAGAGAAAGATGCACGATGCTTGCCCTTTGCAACACACTGCCTCTTGAAGTATGAAGTTCAGTTCCCAAAGGAGCTCTAACAGACAGTGCACCATGCCTTCGAGCGAAAGGGGCTTCTCCTGAGTAAACTCTCGGTAGACAAGAAACAAAGTACTCAAGACCTGTGTGTTTGTGTGTCACGGTGTGTGTTTGAGCCCTAAGCACTGCTTATGACAATTGATCCAGTCCCTGGCGCAACTAAGACAGCCCTTGGATCCAGGAGATGTCGAGGTCGCCGGCACTTGGATCCACACCGCCGGGCGGCATAGGAGGCGGTGAGGATCCTGATGGGGCCGTGGGGTGGAGGGACTCTGTTTGGAGAAGGGTGCGATTAGCATTGAACTTCATATTGATAGCTCAAGAGACTCTCGTGTAAGGTCGTTTTCTTTCAGGTTGCATGCCAATCTTGGGACTTTGTTAAGCACTGCGAGTTCACCATGTTGACGCACGATGCAATAGCAAGGACTAGTAAGAAGTGAGTTGTTTTAGGTTTCACACCAAGGAAGGCTGACGTGGATCGTCGAATTAATTGGGCCTGGTAAAGTACCTGGCAATGGTGGGTTCCTAGCAATGATGGGCGGATTTGGAGCCATGAAAAAGCTTAGCGTGGCACTTGTTACTACTAGTAAGGCACTTGTTCCTAGTAGCTTCTTTGTTATTACTAGTAAGGCACCTGTTACTACTAGCGTGGCACTTGTTCCTAGTAGCAATGATGGGCGGACTTGGAGCGTATTAACTTTCGTAACTCAAGAATCAAGGTCATTGGGGTCCACAGTTAAACATGCCCGCATTTAGAGCATTGTTCCATCCCCGAAATCTCCCTAGGCAACCAAATGGAGAATTCCTGAAGTGCAGTGCGCAACATTTGTGGAGAGTTGACCGGAGATGCACCATAGGAGTCTCTTGTCTCACTTGGATATTTCCGAGCCCCACTACGCTTCAACAAAGCATTTCCGAGCCCACTCCGCCGGCCAAGAGTGACAGCAATCAAGCACGTTGAAGCGCCAATGTGATGAACAACCTTGAAATGGAAGCCAAATCGATTCAGCAGGAGTAAGGAAGCTGCAGTTATGTTGTGCCTGTTCAGATGACTGCATCCAAAATGCTAGTGTACTAATGTCTCAGAATCCACCAGCCATGTATTTCATAAATCCACCTCGTCAGTCAGCCCTGAGTGTTGCATACCGTTGCCATGTGTCAGGTTGTTGAGGTCTTCCCCATCTTGAAAGCTTCCCACAAGTGAATGGAAGTAGAGCAGACTTAGTCTTCTAGGCTTCTTTTGGACCACTTCCATGCAGAATTGTTTGAATGCACTAGTATGTCAGTATGTCATCACAGTAGTAGGATTTAGCTGCATAGCGTTCGTCCACTGGTGGTCGGGCAAAACTGCAGCCATGGACGATGAGTATCCGTTGGTGATGAACACCTGCGATCCGGAGGACGGATGAAAGCGATGCACTTGTTTCTACTAACTTCTTGTTACTACTAGTAAGGCA